CTTGATATACTCACCCGTATGGATACAGACTCCTTCCTGATGGGACTTTGACGCTTCATTGCAAGACGAGGGAAGCCTTTTGAGCTGTTATCTGACCAAGGCACAAACTTCAAAGGTGGCAGCTCTGAACTCAGAGAAGCTTTCAACTCACTTACCCCACCTCTACAGACAAAACTTGCAAACCAGCAAATTCACTTCCGTTTCAACCCCACACATGCGCCACACTTCTACGTTACTGGGAGTGTGAGATTCGCTCCATCAAATCTGCTTTACCTACCACCCTTGGATCTCAGACTGTCGCAAAGGAGGTCTTGACAACAATACTTATTGAGGTAGAGAGTATTATCAACTCCAAGCCCCTGGGTTACCCAGACCCAATCACTCCCAGTATGCTGCTGATGGGGCGGCCTGACCAATCAACACCACAGGTTGTCTACCCTGACACAGAACTCCTCAGTTGTCGCAGATGGCGACTGCCAAGCCTTGGCAGATCAATTCTGGATCCACTTCATCAGGAACTATCTTCCAGTCATTCAGATCCACTCCAAGGCAACAGGAAAAGGATGATCTGTGGGCAGTTACTGTGGGCACCTTCGTCCTTATCATTGACCAATTGTTTCCAGTGTTGTGGTGGTCCACATCGCTACATCAAAGTGTTTACCCTGTAATGCCTTGTAGTAGTTTGACAATCATATCATGTCGATTATCAGTGATCTGGTATTTACTACCATTCTTTGTAATACATATAATCCCCAACAATATTTCAGTTAATTAGTTATGTATGTGCCATCGGAGTGTTGATTGTTTATGTATGTATGTTATGGCAGCAGTGTATGTGCACAAAAGCATCTATTAAAGGGCAGTTGCGCCGTCATTGAACGTTATTAAAGCTGTGTGTGTATCACCTCGGGAATAAGTTTGAACCAAAATACTGTTAATGTTCTCTGATAGTCATGAGGACTGTATTCTTATTTATTAATTTGGGTTGTTTATCATCACATTACTCTTGCAATGTGTATGTAGGACATATTGTTTATATTTATTATTATTATTGCTTATTCTTAACTTTGTACATATTCTGTTTCTCTCTTTTATATAGAAACCACACGCCTTCATGAGTATGAGTCATACTTATGAATATCATAACCTGCAATAAATGAGTGGCATGGTCATTAGGGTGTGTGATTGGACTCCTGTTCTTACCGGACAACCTGTGGAGAGTGCACATCCACAGAATCAGCACCTAAGGGTTCATTCACTCATCATCACTGAGGTCACTAAACCAACACCTCCTTTAAAGCCATCATGGTTGAATTTTACCAAGGCTACAATCCATTACCTGTGGTTGGCCTGTATTTTTACTAGAGCTCCACAGAGAAGCCTGAGAGCGGAGATGTAAAACTACATTGAGATGGTTTTTGGTTCATAAAACCACAAATATTGTCATGTTTGAAGGATAGTTGGACCCAAATGCAGACAACAAAGGGGTCGGTGGGGAAAGATTTAATAACAAAGGCTGACTTACAAAATAAGAATCCAAAAAAACAGGTAGGAACAAAACCACAGAAAATCTGAAAACACACAGGGAACACTGGAGCACAACAAACTTCAGAGGGAAACCTGAGCAAAACTACAAGCAGGATTACAGGTTGACAACAGTAGGACAACAGATAGACTGACAAAGACAAGTGGGAGTACAGTGACTAACTACACACCAGGGAGGTAAGGATGATTGAACACAGGTACACATGAATGCATAAACACATCAGGGTGGGCAGACACTCAGCAAGGAGGGAAATACAAGACAAAGACAGGAAATATAAACACAGTGGACACACAAGGAACTCTACTACAAAATAAAACAGGGAATAAAAAAAATGTCCAAACATAAAGCGTCATCAAGGCGAACCATGCCAAATACAGCTTCTTATGGATCAACACTTCAAATAAAACACAGTGTACAAGTGTACAATATGGACATTTCAGGTTCATGGGACTGTAGTCAACCTCTCTGGACATAGTGGCAAGAGGTATATTGACCCCAGATTGAACAGAAGAATAGTTTGAACAGTGGAAGAGGAACCAAGTAAACATCAAAACAAATATAAACTGACCTCCAAGATCAAGGTACATAAGTGTCCAGTTGAACCATACATTGCTTTCTGAATGTAAGTGGGCTAAATGGATGAAGACTCAAGAAGACCCACAGAAACATAAAAAACAGACTATTCCCTAAAATGCATGTTTGCAAGATAAAAATGAAGCTTTCAACATAGATAGATAGATAGATAGATAGATAGATAGATAAATACTTTATTTATCCCCTAGGGGAAATTCATGTGTCCATTAGCTCATAATAATAATAATAATAATAATAATAATAATAATAATAATAATAATAATAATAATAATAATAATAACAATAATAATAATAATAATTAGATTAGTCCACTTCCTTTGACTGAGGTGTTGTATAGCCTGATGGCAGTGGGAGCAAAGGATCTCCTGAACCTCTCTGTTCTGCAGCGCAGTGAGATGAGACGTTTGCTGCAGCTGTAGCTGATTCTCTGTCCTGCCAGAATGTTGTGGAGAGGATGGTTGGTATTGTCCAAGATGGCCTCCATCTTACATTACATGCGTCTCTCCACAACAGTCCTGAGTGTGTCCAGACTCCTGCCAAGCACAGACCCAGCCTTTCTGACCAGCATGTCCTGTCTCTTTGTGTTCATCTCAAACATGCTGCTGCCCCAGCAGACTGCAGCATGAAAGAGTACACTGGCCACCACTGACTGATAAAACATGTGCAGCATTTCACTGCAAACGTCAAAGGACCTGAGCATCTCCACTGTGAAACATGGAAGAGACTCAGTTATGTTAAAGGGTTGCCTTGCTGCTTCTGGCACAAGAGCCTAGAATCTGTGCAGGGAACAATGAAATCAGGAGATTATCAGCTGCAGCGCACAGCTCCTCCAATGGGATAATGACAAACATACATGTACAAGCAGCCAAGAATGGATGAGATAAAAACACTGACCTGCTCTGAAGCGGCCTGCTGTGAGTCCTGATCTTAATCCAACTGAACATCCATGAGAAGAGCTGAAACTCACAGCTGGGAGAAGAGTGAGCTACAAAATATTAGCTTAAGGGTCCCAATATTTTTGTTCATACCATTTTTATTTGTTGTGTTATGTAAAATAATATGTTACATTGATCAAAAGCAACTGTTCTATTAAATATGGACCAGAGAATAGTCAATGTCAATTACTGTCAGCCACGTCTATATGTAAAAGGATTTGACTGTAGTGACTCTGCAATTCCCCTAAACTGTATAGAGTATTATTGCGACTTTTATCTCATTGTTTTGGTTTTATGGGCCAAAATTTACTATTTTTGATCACTGTCACTGTTCTCACAGTGTCAGCAGCAGCAAAAAAAACAAAACAAAAACACTGTAAGCTACTTGTTCTGCCACAAAAGACAGACAGGCAAGGTTAGCGACTAGCTTGGGAACATAGTGGAGCATTTAGTAGCTAAAAAAACAGATATTTCCCTCAGCTGTTAGGGACCACAAACAGATAACTCAAAACAAATGCTAATGTTGCTCTGTATCTCCTGGAGGTGTAAATAGGCAATTGTTTGCTGACAAGTTTGGAATATCAACAAAAAGGTGATAATACGTCAGTGTTGTGTTTACAGCTTGTTTCCTGAGTTAAGGTAAGTTTAAAGTAATAGTTTGATGTTCTGAAGCTAAGAGATGGTTAGCTTAGCCAAACAGAAGGGTTACTGTGGTATGCGCTTTGTCATTAGGAGCCACTGTAGTTGTACAGGTGCGTCACTCATTATATTATATCTTGTGGTCATGTCACCAAGCTCCACAGCCAGGAGATGATAAAGGAATGACACATCAAGATATCACAAGAGGCTACTGCTGCAACCTATAGCTACATGTGTATGAGAAAGAGACCTAAGTTAAATTTTCATGAAGATTAATGTAATGAAATTTGAAAAGATGTAAAAGTGAGACTCGGTATATAGGCCTAGAGGTTATTCAAACAATTGTATGGTGTCCTGGAAATGTATTGAGGCTGACTATGAACTGTGGACCAGCCCCAGAGTCCCCAGAGGTTCTGCAATATTCAGTCATATTGATGATTTGACAGGTGATTATGTTTGTTCTGTCTGAAACAGTAGCAGATTGTAGCGTGTTTGCAGACCAAATTCTAGAAAGCCCTGTGGTCTGCTTTTCAGGAGTGGATGAATGAAGCAAGAAGGGTTGTTACATAACATATATCATATGGACAGTGGTGGAGGAGGAAAACTTTCCTTTACTGAGGTGACATTTAAATGGAGTATTATATTAATTATAAGTAGCAAAATATACAAATTAAAAATACTTAGTTTGCCCGATGTGTCAATATTATATATTATACTGTCATATTATTGTCATTAATGCATTAATCTGTAAGTTGCATTTTACTGCTTTACTTACTCCAAATGGAACCAGTCTTAACAACAGGTCTTGTGTATATTGTTGATATCTTAATATATAAAGTTGCATCATATTGTCTTTTAATATCATCATATGTTTTGTATGCAAAAATCTGACTTTGAAAATTTTATTTGTCAAATACAGCACACACTGAAAGCATAATATTTACCACTGGAATGTAGTGAAGTATAAAGTACTGTGAAATAAAATAATGAATTTCTTTTGATGAAAGACGCTCTATTAAGGAAGGGGTAGCCCACTTGTAGTTTTCCTCTATAAGGAATGTATAGAATTTCATGCCTGGTGCCATGATGACGGACTCTGTGCGCCTTTTTTGTTTTGACGCCAGTGCGCATGACGCACTGAGGCGTCCAGTCTCTCGCCCTTCTCCAGCCGGTGACTGATGCAGTTGAGGGTCTGAGGTGGTATGGTTCTGGTTAGTGATGTAAGAGGGGTGTAATGACACAGCCCTCAGCCTCCACCAATGGAAGTCTGGGCAGGGTTCAACACCCATTTTCGAGGATCTTGCTATAAAACCGGCTTGATGCATCCCGCACACTTCACTTTATGTAATTAACTTTTTTGGAGAGTTTTGGACATTTTCAATGAGGTGAGTAAATCCTTTAAATTAATCTGTGCTCTGACATGAAAACATGGTTTGAATGAGTGGTTCTACAATATGAAAGTTGTAGAATATTTTAATGTATATTTTCAGAGTTTTCTTGTTTATAAAACTGAACCTCAGATTTATTGAGGATGCACAGAGATATTCATCAGTCCTGTACGAATTTCACTGCAACTGTGCAGCCTCTTGATGGCCGTCATACACTGTAATACAATATAAACTCTTGCGTTTCATCTATTTTGTACATGTTTGGAAGATAAATCTTTGTCAGTTCATTTCCAAAGTAAATTTGTTTTGCACCATGATTAAATAATGAGGTATGAAGACTTGAGAATATAATGATAAGAATTGTTTATGATGCGGATTAACTGATCACCGCGTGCTCTTTGTGTCACAGCGGGAGGACAGTTTCACAAACCATGGGATCAATTTATATGCCAAATAATAATCTGTGATTTATAAAAATGTAAATGCATTAGTGATATTAGTCAAATGCAAGAATCCTGCAAAACAACGCGAGAAAATGTTCTCTATATTCATCTGTGAATAATCTCTCAATGCAGGATGATGATCAACAGCATTAATGACTGAACAGGTTTTAATTAGGCTATTAATAAGAATATTTGAATTACTCTTGACCATTTTTATTAATCTTGACTGATGAATGAAACAACAAATTTGAGGCAGTTTCTTTTTTTTTTTTGCAGTTGTGCATCAGCACAACAAAGAGACATTTTCATATCCTCTATGTAGGCTAAGTAAATTAAGCAACCCCCCCCCCCAAAAAACAAAACAAAAAAAACAAAAAAACAACAAAAAACACTGTTAAAGTAAATGACCTGCATTAAAAATGCTTCTTAAGTAAGAGTGCAGAAGCATTAACAACAAAATGTACCTAAAGTATCAAAAGTACAAGAGCTCATTATGCAGAATATGTTTCATTATTATATATTTTATAGGCTGTTATTGGATTATTTTATATTATTGATACATAAGGAGCATGTGAAAGGTGCAGCTGGGTGAGGAGGAGCTAATTTTTGAGTATTATATGCGCTGTTGGCTGGTTTAATAACAGTTCATTATATTTTATATGATGATCATTGTTAATGTCAAATGTATGAAGTAGTAAATGTATAATGGAGCATAACATGGAATACTCACATAAAGTACAAGTACCAAGATTAAGTACAAAACTATTTGAGTAAATGTACTTCCGTATTCCTGTTCTAACACTCACTGTCGGTCTCATCAGTTCCAGGATGGATAACAAGTCTTACTTGGTTCAGATGAATGGGAATGGAGTCCACGGCAAAACCACACTCAATGGCAAAACCCTGAGTGGGACTGGAGTCAATGGGAAGGGAGTGCACGGGAACGGCATCCACCATGTAAGTGTGAATGGCAGTTTGTATCCAACCAAAGCCAAGAGCCGCCGGCAGAGATGGGAGGTGAAGCCTTCAGAGATGGCCAACAACACGCTCAACCCCATCAGGGCCATCGTGGATGGCATGAAGATCACCCCAAATCCAGATAAACCCATGATTGCACTTTCGATAGGTAAGAGGGTCTCTGCAAATCATCTGACAGATACAACTTCGTTGCTTACATTCAATGCACATGTTCAATAAGACAACAAGCAGTAAGACAGTTTTCAGAGAAGCTCTCTACAGTTTAATCCAATGCTGTGTGACTGTAATCAATAAAGAATAACTACACCCATAGATTTCCAATCAGTTTCTTTGATTAGAAATGAAATAAACCCCACATCTGTTCCCCAGGGGACCCCACTGTGTTTGGAAACCTGCCCACAGATGATGCAGTGCTTCAGGCCATGAAAGACGCTATAGACTCGCAAAAGTACAACGGCTACGCTCCTTCTGTTGGTGAGTCACACTGACTGACTTGAGTCCTTCCTTGTGAGGAAGAAAACACGATGACCAGGAGTTCAAAATGTAGAAGTGCTTATTGAAAGCTGATGTGCCGCAGAGAAAGTGATGAGCAGTACAATGACAGCAAGTGAACCGCAGGCATGGCAAGTTATATAGCATATATAGTACCATTCAGACACAAGGCCTCTATAAAGTGCTTTATAGAAGCATGCAAATACATAAAAAATAGAACATTAAAAAGCATTTATAAACAATAAAAACAAATTTGAATAAGTAAAAATAAGAATATTTAAATACATAAGATCAGGTAGGACACTTAGGACACCATTTTAAAAGGGGTGCTCTAGTCTATTAGACATTCAAATGCATAAGATTAAAAAGATGTTATGTATGTAATTTATTGGTGAGCTGCAGCAAATAGTCACGTTTTAAGCCCATGAGCTGACAGTCTCAGCAGATCTCAGGTGATCAGGAAGTTTGTTCCACAGGTGAGGGGCAAAGAAACTAAAAGCAGCTTCACCTTGTACGGTTTTGATTCTGTGAACACAGAGTGAACCTGTCCCAGGTGAACCTGAGGGGTCTGGATGCTTCGTATCATACAAGTAGATCAGAGATGTGTTTAGGCGCAAGACCATTTAGAGCTTTATAGAACCATAGTGGTGCCACACCAAGTTCTGAAGTTGTCTCTTCTGACGATAATCCCAGGTCTCACATGATTGCAACATTTTACCACACCTTACTCCACATAATGTTAAAGTTTATAATAAATCATAATGTGTGAAGATGCTATGTGTCCAAAATCCACAATGTCACATGTTCTGTGACATATGTTCTGACCTTATCTATAAGACCTTGAATACCCTTGTAATGGAAGAGAGGAACGTCTCCAGGTGTCCGCCATCAGTAATAAAGCTGTCCAGACAGTAAACCATTAATAACACAGTGAGGGTTACTACAGCCTGTGAAAACAAGATGAACACTGGGGTGAGAAAACCTCCTTCACAGATAGAAGTTATTTTATATTGCCCTGAGCGCTGAGGTACAGATGCATATATGAGATACAGTATTCACATTAGTGACTTAATGTGACTTTCAATTTAAACTCAGGAGGCTCAGGTGGTAGAGCGGAAGGTCGGTGGTTCGATCCCCAGCAATAATAAACAAAATACTGATATTATGCTCACAGGAAATAGGCTTTTAATATTTATATATGTATATTGAATATATATTGAATACATATCTGAATTTATACTTAAATCACTGAAAATGTGTATTTCTGCTATTAATATTTCTCTTTGTTATTCATTTAATTCTTCGGTCTCACTTGTAAATGAGATCTTGATCTCGATGTAACCTCCTGATTAAATAAAGTATAAATAAAATAAAAATGTGTGTGTGAATGGGTGAATGTGACTAGTAGTGTAAGTGGTAAGACTAGAAAAGTGCTATATAAATGCAGTCCATTTACCATATTGAGAAATCTAATTCTCAGAAATGGTCTGGTGTCTGTAAATCACGCAGGCTCCTGCTCATGTTTACCAACCCCAGCAGTCAGTGATGCTCTGATTCTTCACTGTCTGTGGCTCTAATGTATGTCTGTATCGGCAGGTTATCTGAAGAGCCGGCAAGCAGTGGCCAACTTTTACAGCTGCCCCGAGGCTCCACTAGAGGCAGAGGTACTCACTCTTCATGCGCCTCACACCTTTGCTGACACACTTTCATTCATGTTCTCTGATCCTCATTGCTCTGCAGTGTTATCTCTAAATCTGAATCCCAGTATAGGACACCTTAAATGTATTGTAACCACATTGTGAGTGAGCAGCATGATGCAATAAACAAAATACTTATATTATGCTCACAATAAATAGGCCTTTAATCAGATCGTAATGCATCAGAGTGCATGTCTTCAAAGTTACTTTAGATGTTAGAGTGACTTTATTCAAGCTGCATGACGTTATCATCGGTATGGACGGAGATATGTTTGATGTTGTCTGTGTCTGTGCTCTGAAAAGTGAATGCCCTCTTCCAGGATGTGATTTTGACCAGCGGCTGCAGTCAGGCCATTGACCTGGCTATCAGTGTCCTGTGTAACCCAGGGGACAACATCCTGGTCCCATGCCCAGGCTTCTCCTTATATAAGACTCTGGCTGTCTCCATGGGTATCAAGGTCAAACTCTACAACCTGCTGGTAAGTGAGAGGGTACAATCCCGACTCCCACTGTAGCCTACTAATTATTACTACAGACGTGGTAACAAACTGTTGTAAATGCAGGATAAGGTTAGCTCAAGGGCTATTATGTGTTAACACTCCTAACAATGCTGACATTGCATGCAAGCAGCAGGATCCCCAAAAAACACACACACAACTTTGAAACTATTTTGGACTTGTGGTCACAGTCAGAATTGCAGGTCGTGCGACATCCACTAACCCTGTCATTCGGATGAAATGGTTGTACAACAATGATTTATCTTTCATTCTGAGCATCACAAACACTCTGACATGACTATTTCCACAGTTTGAGTCATTTGGTCCAATCAAAATTCATGAGTAGTTGGATCAGTAGATTCTATTTGTGCCACTTAACGAGCCAGAGAAGGAATCAGGAGGCCTGAGCATCTTTCAAATGAATCAAGGAGGCACCGTCTTGTAACACAGTATCCAGTTACTCTTCCTGGCTCTCTTGTGTGTTGTGTGGCCATAGAATTTATATGGAGATACTGTTACACACATGATTACAACAGCTTTTCTTGGCTCTGGAAAAGTTTTGCAAATGTAAAAAATCCATGGTTTTAAAATTCATAATAATAATAATAATAATAATAATAATAATAGTAATGATTAGGATTTTGTGCAGTTTCAGAGGTCAGACAGATGTGACCTTTACACTGGTGGTCTACTAAATGCATAGACTTGGGCCACTGGGGATTTAGTTATTTATTTATTTACCTTATGTTGTAAATACTGCAGTCAGCCACTGTGAAAAGCTCTGGGTGATCATTTGAGGTTATTAATCAATTTATATTGTGTATAGTCAAAAGCTGTCAGTATCATATAGAGTGTATATAACATTATAGATGACCTCTTTCATGGTAAATACAAGAGGTTCTAGTTTACCCACCTCTTATATTAATGCGTCACTGCCATCACATTTGATTTAACATTTTCTCTCAGTAATTTTTTTTCTCATATTTCTCTTATCATCAATTTTTCATTTTGCAATAAAAAAAGATGGAACACGTCCTGAAAGCTGCCGCAGGGAGATAAAGCTGCCAGTGGTTCAGGATGAGCTTCACAACTCAGCAGAGTGGAAGCAGATCTCAAGCTGTTAATCACAAACTTAAAAAGATCCACCACAGTAAACCCAACTATTTGGCCATCATCACATTAAAATGTAATGAGCCAGTACATCAGTTTTTCTCCATCAGTCATTATAATCAGGGAGTCCATCACTCTCCCAGACAAAGAAATACTTCACATTGTAAGTGACTGGAGGCCAATGGAAACATCTGAGGAGGAGACGTGTGAATCAGGCCACTGATGGGAGGAGGGTGTGGACCTCCTGCTATTGGTGCATGGCAGAGAGGAAACAAGATACTTGGAGACAGTGAAATAAACAGTTGTTACCATCAGTGTAAAGAATGTGGGACATTGTAGACAGGAACTGTAAAATCAAAAAAAGACCACTCAAAGCACTTTACAATACAATCTTACCCACGGACACAGACTGGAGGAGCTGGGGATTGAACCACTGACCTTGTGATTAGGGGACAACCTGCTCTACGCCACTTGTTGAGCAGCTGCGGCTGCAGTTTCTACATTTAATCATTTTGCTGAGAGGCTTACATCATAAAAATAGTTACACTGAAAGAGGAAGTGGTTTAAGCGCTTGGTCAGTTGTGGTTGGCTGTATTATTGTTAACAGCTTTTTACTGGCTGTTGAGGATGTCAGTCAACAACATCTATCTTTGTACATCATGAGCGTGTGTTATCGTGCACAATAAAGCGTCTGCCCTCATCCTCACATACATCTGTGCCTTGCAGCCGGAGAAGTCATGGGAGATTGACCTGCAGCACATGGAGAGCCTGATCGACGAGAGGACATCCTGTCTGATTATTACCAATCCATCCAACCCGTGCGGCTCAGTCTTCAGCAAGGAGCACCTACAGAAGATCCTCAAAGGTGAGCTGCAGCTCTAACAAAGAAGAGCTGAAATTCCTCAAAAGCTTTTTAACTGGCATCATGGTTGAACATAGAAGCAAACACCGCACGTGCAAAACACTGAAATGAGTTGCTTCTTGTTTTTTTCAGTGGCCTCCAGACACTGTGTTCCCATTCTGGCTGATGAAATCTACACCGATATGGTGAGTACAGCCACACACCGACACCAGTCCCATTTCAGTACAGGTTGCCAGGTGTGCTTGGCCCTGTGTAACACCAGCGAGGCACATTCTTCAACACAGTGCCAGCAGAGGTTGTGTTTCATTTGGTGGTATTTGCTCTGGCTCTGGATGGCGAGGGCACAACCCCACATCAGCACAGGGGGGATTAGAGGCCATGTGCTGTGAATGAGGCCTGGGGGGCAGCAACCAGTAAGGTTTTCCAGGTCTAATATAGTGAGGATTTGTCCGTTTGAAATGCAGATTCAGAGGTGAAGCTCTGCCCACAGTGCAAATTCATTCTTATTCTAGATAGTGTGGGGTTTTATTTGCCCAGGTTTTGAGATATCTGTCACAGATGTTTTTTTCTTGGGATGCATGAAAAAGATCAGGACTGGTACTAAGTTGGCCATGATTTGACAGACCTGGATTAAATACAGTTTCTTTGTCAGTGCTTTGTGCAGCAAGAATCACATATCTTAAATTTAGAGAAAAGCCAGTCTTGTTATCAGATTGGTACTCAGCATCTGCAGGTATTCAGAGCTGAGGTACCAGGATCGCTATCAGTGCTTCCCTCCCCTCTGCTTGATCCCCAATACAGGGGCAACAGCTCTTTCTCAGAAACAATGCAACAAGTACGCAACAATAAGTGTGTGGCTGGGTGACAGCTCAGTCGTTTTACTCCAGATCCTCTACATTTCCTCTTCTCTGTGCATTTATTTTGTGGTAAAGTCAGTTCTCATCCTCAAGTTGATGGATGAATCATTACATTTCCCCTAGAGCAAATGAACATATGTTTGCATTGCGTTCCTGCACTTGGATACACCTTTACTCTGTACTCTCTCCTACCAAAGAAAGAATTATCCAGAATAACATGGACACTGTTTCTGACCAGAGCCATTTCTCAATGATTTGAGCAACATAACTGAAACGCCTTTCATCTCCAATGTATTGGGGTGAAGGCAAAAATCAAAGAGACAGATAGCGAACCAGACCTTTAAGCCTGAAAGTGATCAAATTGAAGATCAGAAAACAACTCTGTCAGCACATTCAGTCCAAATCTGTGGCATCAGTGTTTCAGCCTTGAAACGTTTGTGCTGGTCAAAGTTTAGTTGAAGGTCATGCAAACACATACACAGATATACAGACTCTTGTACACACACAGACAGACAGACAGACACACACACACACACACACACACACAGGCGGGATGAATGTTTGCCAGCTCATTAAAAAAGAGATAAGGTGAGAGTTGAATTGTCAGTAGTTTTACACGTAGGTTACTGTCTCATAAGGTGCGTCATACAGCTGCATGTAGCATTAATCTTGCAACTATTGAAGACATTTTACATTTGACTGTCCATTTTAATATCACACTGTATTATTATATTTAATGGACTATTAAAATATAGGTCTAGTATTAATTCATCAAAGTATGAGGGTTTTTTGGAGCGAAAGTGTGTTTCAGTCGTCTCTGCTCAGTGCAGGGAGGGTGCTGTAGGTACAGAGTGTTCACTGAAGTAAGAAAGAGCAGTAATGAAATGAAACGTTCCCTCACATGAACAACATAAGTAAATAACTACACCAGTCTGACCTAGTTCCATCTGCACACAGCCTGATAGTGACCATGTACATAAGAACAATGTCAGGAGGTAAAGATGAACTGATGGAGACCAAACTGTAGGTTCACACAAGGCCAGACATCACTCTGGGTAAAAGACCTTATGTGACTTACTGCATCAACTAATCAGTAGAAAATAGACTCATGTGTCTACGATTCAGTCTCATCAAAACTTTCCACAGTCTGCAACATCAACTTTTTTTTAGCAGTGAGACAGTCGGAGACTGTGAAAGCAAAAGAGGATTAAATGGTCGGTTTATCATTTAAATACATATATATAAATATATACTATAAATATATATAGTTGAAGTTTTTAGTTAACCATTCATTCAGTCTTGAGTGTCTCCTGTGACACTGATTTGCATCATTAATAGTATATGTGTTGAAAAAGGCCCACTGTTCCCTCATCCTGTTAATGGGCAAAGAGGTCATCTGAAAGCTCAAGGGGTTACATGTTACATTCTACATGTTACATGTTACATTCTACATGTTACATGTTACATGTTACATGTGGGTTGAGTTTTTAAGTAACTTCAGGTGTCTTGTGTTCAAGGACATACAGTGTGTGTCAGTAGTAGATATGTAAATGTATGTTTGTAGTCGGTTGCTATTGGTTGTCAACATAAGGTGATGTGTAACTCGACCAACCTGTGTTCACTTCTTTCTCCCTCGTTCTTGTACTTGTTCTGTAAAAGGGTTACTCTGACTCTGTGTTGTTGGGATAAGGAACGAGTATGAGTTCTGTCCCCTTATTGATCTATAATAATCTTTTGTTAAAGGGATAGTGAGCTACTTCTTAAAAAGTCATTACATTACAGTAGATTCTGCTCAGTGGGCTCCCGGTTAGAAAAGCCAACAGACCGCACAGGCAGTGCAATGTGTTGATGTCCACGATGCCATGAGAAAAACTTTTAAAAACATCCACTGAGACAATCCAATATCTGTTTAAATGTACACTCCATGTAGAATATTTTCAGCACTTTATCTTCCTGTGAAAACAGAACTTTCCTTTGGCACTACACTTTTCACCTGCTGAAATACCGTATTCCTACGCACACCTACGGAGCACACTGTATTATGCTGCAGGCCACAGGTGCGCTCGTGCGTAGGAATATGGTTTTTCTAACTGGGAGCATGCTGAACAGAATCATCTGTGGGTAATGCTCTGACTATTCATGGGTACCTCACACAACCCCACATCAAATAACCCCAACTATCCCTTTAATCTTCGGTCAGTCCGTGTCTGTGCTTTTTATTTCTGTGTTTGTGTCCAGTGTTTTACCTGAATATCCACCACAAGACAAACCCAGACCCCACTGTAGTTACTAAAAAATTTTGCCCCTCCCTTTCCTTAAGTAAAGGGACATTACAATTCATTGTGGTTCATAATTAGTCAAGAATAATACTTCAAAGTGTTTAGGCCACTGTAGTGTTTGAAAGGTTGAGATATGGAGTTCATATGTTCATAAACTGTTCCTTTGAAGAGTGAAGCAGACAGGTCAAGTATTCAAGAGTAAAACACTCCATGATTATCTCATGCCACTTTGCTGTGGTGGGAGGATCTCATACAGTCTGACAGAGTAGGAGTAGAAGTTTATCATGAATATAGTCTGTGCATTACATGTACTGTACCTCTGGTGTTACATGTCTCAGGCCAGGCCTCTACATCACCTTTACTTCTCTGTTGTTTCTACTTATTGATCTCAAATCAGGATTTACTGCTGTTTCATTCATTTCAATAGCGTCTGGAACCTGGGTTGAGATGTTGTTGTTAGCGACATGACATCGTCTTCTCACTGGGTGAGGTGTACGTGGTGTGGGGAGTATCTAGACCCACTCCAAAGGGCTGAGAGATGAATGGTTTACTAGTGTTAGAATGGACAAATAAAGGTCCGGTATATTCATTCGCAAAATGCGATGTTTATTAAACCAAGTCAATTTCAGTTGTTTCTGCTGAGTGCAGGGAGGATGTTGTAGTTATGGGGGAAGACGTGTACTTTATACTGATGAAGATAACAGAAGCAGTTGGTACAAGTCACACCAAGGTCTCCTATTGCACCAAAGCTTTAAAGTAGTCACTCTTCATAAAGTGTCGGCCAAACGAGTGAATGTAAATGTAAATGTGAATGTAATGTAAGCAGCAGAAGTGAGTACAGTCACAAACTAGAGAAGAAACTTTGTCTCACAGCCACAAAAATAAAATGCAGCTTTCCATCAGCTTCACAAGGACAGATGCATGTTAAACGCTTACATCTGCACTTTTTAATTTTGTTGTAGCAGCTATTGTGAGTGGAGAAAACCCCCCTACCAACACAACCACCACCAGCACCATCTGACCATTTCACTTTGAGCACAAACAGACCAGAATGACTTTGCACTTTTTTGGCTGCATGTGTTTGCAATTAAGTCGGATGTCAGATCTTGGAGAAGCAGGAAACGGGGAGGATTAGGGGGTGTGTGGTGGGTGGAGAGCTGGGTTGGGGGTGTGGTGGTGGGGCCTCTCGTTTATGACTTGAGTGTTTTGAGGGGCCAGGGTGTCTGGGAACTGCCCCAGCCAATCAAGGCTGAGTCAGTGGGGCATTTCCCCGTGTCCCTCTTCTACATAAGACCCTCAGCAGTACATTTTTACAACACTGTCTGTGCAGAATGTATATGAGCTGTAAAGTCATTGATTATTATAACAAATATACATCCAATTTCTCACACCCTCCTGACCCTTTCTGTGCTGCTCATGATGTTTTCATGTAATCGCAGATATTTGATTTCAGAGAGGGGAGGGGTTGAGGGACTCTCTGCATGTTAGATGAGCTCAAACAGCCACAAGCCAAAAATTGCTGTGTCATTCACAGCAGTCTGACCAATAGGACGCGGGGCGGTTCTCTGCTCAATGTCAAAGATACTGTACGGCTTTAATGAGAACCAGCTTTCTGTAGGTGGAGCGTAGATCACTGTGGTTACTGTCATCCTCTCTCTGTTATCGCTCTCTCTCTGTACTCTTTTATTGTCTCTAGTCTTACTTGGTTTCTCTCTCACCTCCAAATTCAGATTGATATTCATATTTGTCTATAATTTTAAATTCTTTAAAAATAATTTTTTTTGATACTTTTTACTAGGGCTCCAGGATATGCAAAAAAATTATATTGTGATTTCAATTATATTTCGATTAATTGTGCAGCTCTGACAAGTGTTCATGGGGCTAAATATGAAGAGATACAGATCATTTGCATGCTGTGCTTGTTTTAATAACTTTTTGTTTTGACTGCCATAAACTTGCCAAAAACCCCATCAACTTGAAGGTGACCCATTCCCATGGATGATTTTCTGAACGTATTCAATTCTTCTCCTGCTCCTGTCTTTAGGTTTTCCCAGGCTGCAGTTGTCCGTCCATGGCGTCTCTCAGCAGCGACGTTCCCATCCTTTCCTGTGGCGGCTTGGCTAAACGCTGGCTGGTCCCTGGTTGGAGGTTGGGATGGATCCAGATCCATGACAGGAATGATATATTTGGATCCCAGGTACATCTTATAAATATATATATATATATATATATACATACATATATATATGTGTATATTTTAATAGTACAATGTTCTTATATTTTACTAATTGTCTGTCTCTTCTGCAGATTCGACAGGGGCTGGTGAAACTGACCCAACGCATTCTGGGAGCATGCACCATTGTCCAGGGAGCACTGGAGGGCATCCTCAACAACACACGTCAAAGCTTCTACAACGACACCATCAGCTTCCTGAAGGTAAATATGGAGATAATTAATCAGGACTGAGTAACGTGCAATGTATCTTCTCTCTATCTCAATATTTTACTGAGATTTACAGTTTGATCAATATACAAATGTTACCGTGGACACATGAGTCAGTCAGCTGACCCTTACCTGTGTAGTGTTATTTATGCTCAGCAGCAACTCCTACGTTCTGCTATGTACAATTAAAAATGTGAGTATATGTTTTAAATACCCCGGTTATGCAAATGTGTGTATTCTGTAGAATATAAGATTAGAAGCTCAATGTGCTGTAGATATAAAAAACAATGTATTAGTGTAAAATGATTGGCTAGTGCAGCTTTAAAGCAACAAATGACCTGATCTCTGCCTGAGCAAAGGCAACAACCATTCACTTCTCATCATTTCTGACACAAATAAGATGCTTCAAACTTTTTCTTGTTTTATTTGTTTTTATTCTGACTTGCAGTAATATGTACCACAATAATACGTAATATTTTTTAATTTTTTCTTCTTCAGTCCAACTCAGAGATTTGTTTCAATGAACTGTCCACCATCCCCGGCCTGAACCCCGTCATGCCATCAGGAGCCATGTACCTCATGGTCAGTACCAGAAGTGTGTGGGGTTCATTTTGAACATCGACATTTTATTATGAGATTTTATTATGTCAAGATTACTTTGTAATTAAAGGGGGGCATTCCACCGATTTTACTCACAAAGTTCAGTTTTCATGTCAGAGAGTATAATGTCAGATGTGGCTCAGAAAACCTGTTATACAAACTGGCAGCATGGAGTTTGACAAGGCAGGGTGCTCTAACAATCAAATCATGTCTTTTAAATCTGTCTCCTGTAAATCCCCAAAGTTATGGAAGCGCATCACTAAATTGCTGGAGTATTTAACATATGTATACAGTCTGGACAGTCTGTGTGCTAAATATTTGCAGTTAGGGCACATAGCCTCAGAGCATGAAGTCAGACATTGATTAGTTCTCATAGTAGTTGGTCATATTGTAAATATACAGCAGCATATTTATATTTCATTTTGCCTACACGCTGGTGACCTGGCGAACCACCTTCAGGGAATTTCTTCAAATTTGGCACATTCACTTGGACTCAAGTATGAACTGATCATAATTTGGTGATAAAAGGTCAAAGGTCAAGGCCATTGTCTTTAGCCATAACTCAGAAAATCAATTCACTAATTATGATAAAATACACTTGACACCTTTTATTACATACAGTATACTACATAAGTCTGGACATGTATGTAAACTGCAACTTGACTGGTTGATGGTGGCGGTGACAAAGACCTCAAAAAGTGCTTGCCATTTATTTCTGAGTTTACATTACATTACAGTATCTCAAAATTGATAGCCATATTCATAAATTAAGAGGAAATCAATGAATATGTAATTTTAACATTTAAAAAGCTTTTAAAATTCACCACATCACCTAAAATGAATGAGTAATGGTAGATGTTAACATCACATTCACATTCTAATCCTGCCTATCCATGCATTTGAGTCTTTTCTTTGTGATTGTACAATATTTTATTATATAAACTTTGTTTTTATGTGCACGTTTTTCTAGGTGGGGATTGACATGGATCACTTTCCAAATTTTAAGAATGACGTGGACTTCACTGAACGGCTGGTAACTGAGCAGTCGGTCTTCTGTCTGCCTGCCTCGGTAAGACACCATCCCTTTGTCTGTCACTGCGTATCATTTACATTTCATGTACCATTTGTTCCTTTATCTGTCTACGCGCTTCATCATCACTTTAATACCTAAGACTATCCATGATGTGTCCTCTCCCAGGCATTTGAGTATCCCAACTTCTTCCGCATTGTGGTGACGGTGCCAGGAGAGATGATGGTGGAGGCTTGTGTTCGGATCAGGGAGTTTTGCCAGTGCCACTATCGGCCCCGCAGCCGCGACAGCAACGATCTGGACCAGTGATGGAACCTAGTTCCACCAGTCCAACAGTGTGGTCCTTGTGGAGATTAAACCTTAAAGGCTGGATGAACTGTCACATACACTGATAAGCCAAAACATTATGACCACCCCTACCTAATACATTGTTGGTCCTTCCTCTGCCACTAAAACAGCTCTGACCTGCCAAAGCATGGACTCTCTCACAGTGTTGTGTGGTCCTGATGTTAGCAGCAGATCCTTTAAGATCCTTTCAAACTAAGGCTGCATTCAGACTACGTTAAAACAGTGCAAGGGCCTGCTTTGGTGGGGGGGTGTGTTGTTTCATGTACTGCTGAGTCTGTGACATACATGTGGGAAGGCCAGTTGGGGGACAGGGCATGGAAGGGGCACTTGCACGTATGTGAATCCAACACAACACCTTGCCGGATGATGTCACATGGTGTCTGTCTAATCTAACCCCAGACCTTGACATGCGCCATTGGTAGGAGATTATCACCTCATCTGTGCGTGGTCATAATATCTTGGCTCATTAGTGTATACTGAGCTGGAATCAGCTTTGAAATTTTATTCCACCATGTTATGAAGTTATACTTACACAAATCTGATGTCAAAGCTGTGTTAATATTGTCATCACTGTGGCACCAAAAGCTTGTGAGCAGTGTATCTGATGGTCCATTCATGGTGTAATTTTTGATGTAAACCATATGAAATGAGAAGACCAAATATTTATATTTTATACAGGCAACTTATATTAACCTCTACTTGTTTTTGTGTATTTATATAATTTGTGTACGGCTTTGTATGCCTATGTAACGTAGCCTCTTCGATATCAACTGCATCCATGCATGATGAACACACCTTTATGGTACTTTACGCCTGTTTTTTACTCTCTGATCCACAATTAGAGGCAGTATATATATATATATATATATATATATATATATATATATATATATATATTCAGTATCGATTTTTATAAACTTTATGTATTGATAATCTTCTGTATACTTAGAAAATGACTCTCAGTGCAAAGTGTTAGACTGCATGGGCATGCTCTATCAGAACCTTCTCTGTATATTTGTATGTTGATTGTGTCATATTGAAAGGCATATAAATATATATTTTTACAGACACAAAATCTTATTTAGTAGTTTTGTTGATAGTAACCGAATAAAAAAACATGTTGACATGACTGGTGCTGATTGATATAAGAGAAGATAATTATTAGATACTCAACTCTCACGAAACATTCTGCACACAAATCATGCAGACCCATCAAAAGACTGTCCTGTGTTCGCCAGTGAGGGAATGCTATCTCTATCCCAGTGGTTCCAGTGGCCATGGCCCACTGGTGGACTGTGAAAGTATTGCAAGTGGGCCGAAAAATTCCTTTGCAAAACAGTTCCTACTTTTATTTTGTTGCCGGTCCAGACCACATTATGTACTGGTTTGTGCACGCTAAAAGAAGAAACACTGGAGAATCAAAATGATTAGCTGGTTAGCAACAGGAAGAATTAAAGGAAGGAGAGTCAAGAGACAGAGGCAAGAGACAAGTGATCTCTCCCCATCAAACAAAAAAGAAAAAATTGAGCCTCCTACATATTTCTTGAATGTTCGATTGTTATCATTCAAATAAAAAGTGCTTTGAGAAGGCATTATTTGGCCTCTGTAATGTTATGGGGTCAGATGTGGACCGCCAACATTTTTGAGATTTTCAAGTGGGACATGAATTGGGAAAGGTGGGAAACCACTACTCTATCCTCAGGCCTCCGGTTTCCCTTCTTCAGCTTTCCACAGGGTATTTGATTCTTATGTAACTGTACATGTGACTTTTCATGCACAGTACACAGATGGATCCTTACTCTGCAGCCTGTTGATTGTGACTCCTCTGATCTAGAGCCCTTCCATAAACATATGGAGGATACAATTTCTTTCCATTTGGCAGCATTTCTCTTGCAACACTCGACAGTCAGTCAGTCCACCACTCTGGTCCAGACTGAAACATATCAGCAACTACTGGATGTATTTCCATGAACATTTGCACAGATGGTCCCTAGAGGATGAATCCTAATGACTTTTCCCCTACTGCCTGATTGCTGGATGGATCCTCTGACTTTTTATTACGTCTAATTTCTCCACTTTTGGACTGTTTGAACTTGTTCCCATCAGCCTCAGCTGTGCTTTGTGTGTAGGACTGGTTATAAAACATTAACACATGAACATGTTGAACTAAGGTAGTGAACATGTAAACATTATTCCTGCTAAACAACATGTTAGCACTGTCATTGTGAACAAGCTACTGACGTTAGCAATTAGCTCAAAGCGACACTGTGACTAAGTACAACCTCAGAGAGCTGACAGTGGTGCAACAGACTCTTAATCTTGTTCCTTCATTGTTGGAACCAAGTAATACACGATACATTAAATGACAATTACATGACATGATTGAACCGTCCCCAAACACTTTGTACTTCATCTCTTTACACTGTTTTGACATTTAACAGTAAAATCATACAATCTTCAAATAACAAGTAATAACAGCAACTAAACAGAAATGCTCACATTCCCCCAAAACTAACAAATATTCCCTAGATTGTATTACAGGATGGGCTGTAGTTTTTCCAGTCTGTTAGGAGGCCATATGTACACCCAAACAGGTTCTGCTTGCTGTAATCATTCATCCTGTTCGTAAAAAAAAATCCCATAATGTTGTTTCAGTAAGTGATGAAGGACAAAACCCACAGCCCTCATGTTTTGCAAAACTGTTTTCTAAAGTTTATTTGCATGAATCAAATCAAGTTTCAAAGTTCATTTTAGTTTGTTTTTCTCTTCGCTCTTTGTTTTTCCACTCAGTGTTCCCCTGATGATCTTCACTGGAGGGATGGTCACAAAAAGAGTCGAGGTCATTTTACACTAAAAAGACTATAATTTTGTGGACTGTGGACTTTGTCCTGCAGTTAAGACACATTGGTGAAGGGATTTCTTAATGAACAGGAGGAAAAAGTTACAGCAAGAAAAAACAGTTTCAGTGTTCAGATGGGCTCCTGACTCTTGTTTAAGTAACACTTGAGAAACTGTGAACCAATCCTTAAATCTGTTAGGAGGCCCCGAGGTAAAGAAAGAGAGCTATGGGCCCCAATTGCTCGACTGTTTGTGGATAACGACAAAACGCCCCTCTACAATGCAAATAATCAAAACAATGCAGGACCCACCTTATGGCCCATTATCATTTCAGGTTAATACTTGTTCCTATTCCAAAATATATATACGACTTAGATATATACTGTCGCCCATAAAGTTGGAATGATTTTGTTTTCAAACACAATCCTCTGTTTATTCCTGTTTAAATGCATCAGTAATCACTTTTGACCATCTGCAATGATTACATTATGTGTCCCAATTACCCAGGTGAAATGAAATAAATCACATTGTCACAATCATTTCATGGAAAAAGGAAAAAGATATTTTATTTCAACTTTATGAGCAACTGTGTAAATATATATAATATAATATAATATAATATACCACAAACCAAATGACACCTTCTCACATAATTTGAGACTTTTGGGGACCAGTAGGAATATTCATTAAAATCATGAATATGAAGAGCAAAATACACTTAGCAATTACTAATTTACAATAAAAGCATAAAAAATGCAATTTTCAAAACATATTAATTTATGCTTGTGCTGGCCTATAAAATTATTATGAAACAAATTTTCAGTGCTGGGCGGCTTGGCGGTGCAGTGGTTAGCACTTTCGCCCCCCAAGCAAGAAGGTTTCAACCTGTCCAGAGTGTAACCGGCCCTCGCTGAATGTCAGCTGTGATTGGCTAGAGTTGTTTAATTGCAGAGAGGTTTTATTTCTCAGACATGAATGTGATATAAATTATTATAGTGTTATTCTAATTCCTGCAAATCTGTACCGTAGTTGCATATACAGTGATCTAATGTCACCATCTAATGTTGAACTGGTACTATTACAACAGCATTTCTCTTACAATGTGACCCTGCCTGTGTGTATGTGTATGTGTACGTGTATGTGTATATGTGTGTGTGTGTGTGTGTGTGTGTGTGTGTGTTACTGGTACTGCACTGTTACCCCTATGCTATGAGAAAAGTGACCTTTGCAACACGCTCCTCCTCACTTACTGAGTATACACATAAATACTTCGTGGAAGTGAAGTACTTTGTATGTTGTCCAATAATTAACTACCTCACTGATAAGGCAGGAGGAGAGAGAGACAGACAAAGAGAGAGTGGAAGAAAAAGGAGAGAGAGAAGGAAAGAAACACATAGAGAGATAGAGAAGCAAAATCAGCAGAGAAAAAGGAAGGACGTTGACTCAGCAGAGGAACGCGAGAAAAGAGGAAGCTCTGACAGTGTACGAGTTTCTGCTGAGGTTCTCGTTTTGTTGTTTGTCTCTGAACGTGGTGAAATGTTCTCCATGGAAGACACACAGGTGGCCAGGACCATAGAGCTGAATGACGGCAGACAAATGCCAGTTCTGGGTCTGGGGACATGGAAGGTAGCCTCAACACTCACTCCTGTAACTGCTTTACACTGTAAAGAATCCATCCAGTTGTCATCAGTTTGTTTTCTTGCAAACTGTTTAAGAGTAATGCTGCACAGACGTGTTTTAGTCATCAGAGTATTTATTGAATGAAATCAGCCTAGAGGCGTTGAAAATACTGGATTCTGATGGGCAGATTATTTGTCTTGATTATTATTTGTACCCTCCTCCAGGTCAAAGGGCAAGGGGCTGCTGTAGCGCACCTCCTTTATTAAAGGAATTGTTCAACATTTTGGTAAAGGAGTCGATTAGCTTAATGACCAGAAGCCTGGGGCAGCAGCTATAAGCTTGGCTCTGCTTACTGTTAAAAGAAGAACCTGTAGGTAACACATGTAACATGTTGTTTAATTCCTACAAAACCCAAAATGTGACTTCCTGGAGTCTTCCCTAGTTGCCTGGCAACTCCAGTACTGGCACGTAGCTTCCTGTGAAACCACAACCTTGTTAATTTTCTGTTTTTGTTTGGATTAAACAAACCAGATATAATTATTTATCTTATCGGCATGCCATTCAACTCTGGGCAGAGCCAGGTTAGCTGCATCTAGTCTTTAAAGTGAGGTAATTGACTTGTGGCTCTAGCTTCATTGATAATACATGAAAGTGGTATTGATCTTCTCATCTAACTTTCGACAAGAATGTAAAAAAGTGTAGCCTACTTCCTGAAATGTAGAACAGTTCCTGTAAGATTAACCCAACCCTAACTTTAACCTAACTGAAAGTCTCTTAATTGATCAAATGAGGAAAACCTTGCTCAGAAACATAGTTCTGTAGTGCAATGCATTACACTTAGCTTTTTATATATTCAATTACTGCCAAAGAGTTCTTACTGGATCACAGGAAGTGTTCACATCACACCTGCACTGACTTCCAGTATTAGGGCAGATTTTACAGCCCTGTTGCTTGTCTGTAAATCTATAAACAGACTCTCTGACATGCAAAGGTACAAGAAAGACCAGAGACACAAAGACTTCCTGTTGCTTGCTGTAACAAAAACCCTACCACATAGTACTGTATTGATGAAGTGACCTTCTCTAACTGTCTGTGAGCTCATATCTCTTCCTGTGCTGCTATTTATAATGTTATTTATTGTGTATTTTTATGTTGTGTTTGATTGCACTTGTGCATTCTCATTTCAGCCCGTTAAACATGAAGCCACAGTCAGCAGCCGGTAAACTTAGCTTAGCACTGATGGCTCTGTAACAATATCTGCCTACCAGCACCTCTAAAGTTTACTCATTATGTTATATCTTATTTGCTTGATCATTACAAACACAAATATAAATGTGGCAATTTGTGCTTTCAAAGGTAGTTATGTCCCAAACTTCCTGGCAACCTTACTTTCAGACAGAGCCATGCTACCTGTTGTTCCAGTCTTTATGGTAAACCAGGCTTAGCAGCTGCAGGCTCTGTAACTGTACACAATGTGTATGAGAGTGGTATTGATCTTCTCATCAATCAAAAGTGAATAACTGTTTCTAACCACACAACAAGAAGTTTGAGACATTAGTATAAGTGCTGATATATTACATGAGGACTAGATCATTTCTGAGGAGACTGGCAGCCTTTACTAAACTCTATAATGCATTTCAGCTTGGAGTGATTCTCCCCAATGTTATGGAACAGCACGAAGAGAAGTGAAGCCTTTGGCGGTTTTTATGATGACCATAGAGTGAAGAGATTTTTTAAGTGTTGTAGTACTTGTTGCAGTGCTCCTCTCTGCCCCGCGCCAAAGTCCAATGCGCAGTTGAGGCTGCCATTGCTGCTGGCTACCGCCACATAGACACCGCCTACAGCTACAACAACGAAGTGGATATTGGCAAGGCTCTGCACTCCAAGATGCAGCAGGGCATCATCAGGCGCCAGGACATGTTCATTGTCAGTAAGGTGGGTGCTGTAGAGAACAGGTGTTATAGCGGGGCCAGGGTGCAATGTGATGATGATGATGTCCTTTTTGAACTGCAAAGAAAATCTTTTCATGCACATTATGCTGCCTTTATATACTGTGGGCCATGATTTTATCTTATTTCTCAGTTTACCCTCCTGTTCTGTACATGTTCTTCACAGCTGTGGGGTACCCACCATGACTCAGAGGACATCCCTGCATGCCTGAACAAGTCCCTGAATGATCTCCAGTTGGACTACCTGGATCTCTACCTTGTGCATTTCCCTGTTGGCCTGAAGGTTGAGCATAACATCCTAAACAGTATGACAGAATTAAAATTGTACTACCCCTTATCCTACTCTGTCTGAGATGGTTGGGGTCCAGGCTAGGAAAGACATCTTTGACTGTGGCATTGTTTTTTTTTTTTAAATAAATGTGTTAAAGCTGCATTAAATGATTCTTGACCATCAGAGGGCAGGAACCATCCAAACCAAACTGACACAATGGCTTATCTCATTGTTATGGCTGATATGTTAGCGTGTGTTTCCAACCACCTAACAAATGTAACATTATAATAACTTAATAACTTCAATAATCTCACTGTATAAAGTATGCAATATAGAAGGAGAGGTCTTGAGCTGCTAGTTGCAGCTTTGTCTGCTGTTTGATCAGATGATATACAGTGGGTTTATCAGAGCTCATCAGAGTTTGCTGAAAAGAGCTGCTGCTGAAAATAGAGTTAAAACATTTAATATTAGGTGTTAGTGGGAGTCAACCTTACAGTTTGTCACCACCAGCAGTGCAGGGTATATGCGGTTATACACTGCATACCCACTTCTAAATCCCCTCTGATGTTCATGGTTCAGTAGTCTGCTACAAGACCATTTTTTCTCCTTGTACAGCAAAGACATGACCCGCCCTCCTCTCCCCTCTGATGAGCCAGTACTTGTTGCATTCATTGGTCCAGATAGGTTGGGTTTAATCATGAGGACTATTGATTAGGGTAAGAGTATCAGGGGGAGCCAATCAGAGCCAGAGTATTATCCGAGCCCCTAAAAATTGGGGCATAAATTAAGAGTATACCTTTTTATATACAGTTTATGGAGTATACCCACTTTTTTAGGCACCACTACACAACTGAACATATTCAAATTACAAGTCACTGTATTGATTCAACATCAAAAACATAATTTAATGCAGCTTAAGTGTCATTTCTGGCTCTATATTTTTTTCTAAATTTGCTAAATATCTTTAACAAAAGGGGAAGCAGTTCTAAACTTTGAGAAGGATACATGCTGTATCTTTGCCTTTGTTTACCTTTAAATTCTTCCATAGAAAATGGGTGATGAGCTTTTCCCGGAAAAGGACGGACAGACACTGACCTCTGACGTAGACTATGTAGATGTATGGAGGGTAAGAACACATGTACTCTCTCTGTTTGTATGAACACTGGTGTGTCTACCTGCTTTTAGATTTTTCTCTATTTAAGATCTGAATAGTTCATCCACTGTTGCCCAACTTCCACACTAGCTTAAAAATAGTTTAGTTGTTTACTAGTTTAAAATACACCTTACTAATGAATTTGGCTGCTGTTAAAATAGCAGAAGTGATATGGACATACCTTAAGTGCACTTCTAGTTGCCTCCTACCTAAACCAAATAAGCCTTTTGGAGTGGCTGGTAGATGTGCGTTTACTGTCACGATCTGTTGCTGTGTTTGCAGGGGATGGAAGCTCTACAAGTTTCAGGGAAGGTGAAGAGCATTGGAGTATCCAACTTTAACATCCTGCAGCTGGAGAGGCTGCTTGCTCTGTGCAGGGTTCCCCCGGCTGTCAACCAGGTACTGAAAATTTAACTCCTTTATTGAACATTCAAAACATTCTTATTTCCCTCTATGAATGTATGAACCCATGTATCTTACTTTCATTTACTGTGACAGTAAAAAGTGAGTGGTCTGGTGATGGTCTGCCTTATACACTCATCAAGCTCTTTATTACAAACACCCGTACAACTGCGCATTAATGCAATTATCCAATCAGAGCAGTGCATAAAGTCCTGCAGATACAGGTGAGGAGCTTCAGTTCATGTTCACATCAAACATCTGGATGAGGAAAAATGTGACTCAGTGACTTTTGACTGCGACGTTATTGTTGGCGTCAGACGCTGGTTTGAGCGGAGTGTCAGAGGAAAGTTTCAACATCTTGAGGAATCCTTTACATGAGGATTTTTTTGTATTAAGGGGTGATATTCCCACATAGTAATTGCTTTACATCATATGATGGTACAAACATCATATGACCGGTTTACCCCGTCAGAAACTACATGTGATGTTGTGTCACAGATCATGTTTTTGTGTCCATTGTTCAGGCCTTCAGCATTGATGCTCACTTTGTATACCATCCATAGGTGGAGCTACATCCATACCTAGTCCAGACAGACATGATAGAGTTCTGCAGGTCCAAGAACATCGCCCTGACTGCCTACAGCCCCTTTGGCTCACCTGAGCGACCCCCGCAGCTGTAAGACGCGCAGCATCACTCACACACTCTACTGGCTCACACTGATGGTTAAAAATGAATGAAGCTCCATCACCACGTCTTTAAGTTACGCAAAACAATGCAGGACCCAGCTTATGGCCCATTCAATTTCAAGTTAATACTTGTTTCCTATTCCAAAAATTATATATACGACTTAGATATATACTGTCGCCCATAAAGTTGGAATGATTTTTGTTTTTCAAACACAATCCTCTGTTATTCTATCTGCTTTAAATGCTCAGTAATCACTTTTGACCATCTGCAATGATTACATTATGTTGTCCCAATTACCCAGGTGAAATGAAATAAATTCACATTGTTCACCAATTCATTTCATGGAAAAAGGAAAAAGATATTTATTTCAAACTTTATGAGCAACTGTGTAAATATATATATGTATAATATAATATAATATACCACAACCAAATGACACCTTCTCACATAATTTGAGACTTTTGGGGACCAGTAGGAATATTCATTAAAATCATGAATATGAAGAGCAAAAATACACTTAGCAATTACTAATTTACAATAAAAGCATAAAAAATGCAATTTTCAAACATATTAATTTATGCTTGTGCTGGCCTATAAATTATTATAAAAACAAAGTTTTCAGTGCTGGCGGCTTGGCGGTGCAGTGGTTAGCATTTTCGCCCCCCAAGCAAGAAGGTTTCAACCTTGTCCAGAGTGTAAGACCGGCCCTCGCTGAATGTCAGCTGTGATTGGCTAGAGTTTGTGTTAATGCAGAGAGGTTTTAATTTCTCAGACATGAATGTGATTTAAATTATTATAGTGTTAATTCTAATTCCTGCAAATCTGTAATCCGTAAGTTGCATATACAGTGAATCTAATGTCACCGATCTAATGTTGAACTGTACTATTACAACAGCATTTCTCTTTACAATGTGACCCTGCCTGTGGTGTATGTGTAATGTGTATCTGTGTATGTGTAGTATGTGTGTGTGTGTGTGTGTGTGGTGTGTGTGTTACTGGTACTGCACTGTTACCCCTATGCTATAGAAAAAGTGACCTTTGCAACACGCTCCTCTCACTTACTGAGTAATACAACATAAATACTCGTGGAAGTGAAGACTTTGTATGTTGTCCAATAATTAACTACCTCACTGATAAGGCAGGAGAGAGGAGGAAACAGACAAAGAGAGAGATGAAGAAAAAGGAGAGAGAGAAGGAAAGAAAACACATAGAGAGATAGAGAAGCAAAATCAGCAGAGAAAAAGGAAGGACGTTGACTCAGCAGAGGAAACGCGAGAAAGAGGAAGCTCTGACAGTGTACGAGTTTCTGCTAGGTTTCTCGTTTTGTTGTTTTGTCTCTGTAACGTGGTGAAATGTTCTCCATGGAAGAACACACAGGTTGGACAGGACCATAGAGCTGATGACGGCAGACAATGCCAGTTCTGGGTCTGGGGACATGGAAGGTGAGCCTCACACTCCTCCTGTAACTGCTTTAACACGTAAGAAGAATCCATCCAGTTGTCATCAGTTTGTTGCTTGAAAAACTGTGATTAAGAGTAAATGCTGCACAGACGTGTTTTAGTCCTCAGAGTTATTTATTGAATGAAATCAGCCTAGAGGCGTTGAAAAACTGGATTCTGAATGGGCAGATTATTTGTCTTGATTATTATTTGTACACCCTCCTCCAGGTCAAAGGGCAAGGGGCTGCTGTAGCGCACCTCCTTTAATTAAAGAATTGTTTCAACACATTTTGGTAAAGGAGAGTTCGATTAGCTTAATGACCAGAAAGCCTCGGGCAGCAGCTTAATAGCTTGCTCTGCTTTACTTGTTAAAAGAAAGAACCTGTAGGTAACACATGTAACATGTTGTTTATATTCCTAACAAACCCAAAATGTGACTTCCTGGAGTCTTCCCTAGTTGCCTGGCAACTCCAACTCAGGTGCACGAGCTTCCTGTGAAACCACAACCTTGTTAATTTTCTGTTTTTTGTTTGGATTAAACAAAACAGATATAAATTTATTTATCTATCGGGCACCCCATTCAAGCTCTCAGAGCAGTCAGGAGCCAGGTTAGCTGCCTCCAGTCTTTAAACTGAGGTAATTTGACTTGTGGCTCTAGCTTCATTGTTAATACATGAAAGTGGATATTGATCTTCTCATCTAACTTTCGACAAAATGTAAAAAAAGTGTAGCCTACTCCTGAAATGTAGAACAGTTCCTGTAAGATTAACCCAAACCCTAACTTTAACCTAACTGAAAGTCTCTTAATTGATAAATGAGAAAACCTTGCCTCAGAAACATAGTTCTTGTAGTGCAATTGCATTACACTTACTTTTTACTATAATTCATACTGCCAAAGAGTTCTACGTACTGGATCACAGGGAAGTGTTACATCACACCTGCACTGACTTCGCATATTAGGGCAGATTTACAGCCCTGTTCTTTGTCTGTAAATCTATAAACAGACTCTCTGACATGCAAAGGTACAAGAAAGACCAGAGACACAAAGACTTCCTGTTGCTTGCTGTAACAAAAACCTCCGACATAGTACTGTATTGATGAAGTGACCTTCTCTAACTGTCTGTCGAGCTCAATATCTCTTCCTGTGCTGCTATTTATAATGTTATTTATTGTGATATTTTTATGTTGTGTTTGATTGCACTTGTGCATTCTCATTTCAGCCCGTTAAAACATAGCAGCCACAGTACAGCAGCCGGTAAACTTAGTTAGCTTAGCAACTGATGTGCTTCTGTAACAATATTGCCTACCAGCACCTCTAAAGTTTACTCATTATGTTATATCTTAATTTGCTTGATCATTACAAACACAAAATATATAATGTGGCAATTTGTGCTTTCAAAGGTGTTTGTCCACAGTAACTTTCTTGCAGACCTTACTTTCATGACAGACAGCTCTAGCCGCTGACTCATACTGTTGTTCCACTTCTTTTATGGTTCACCAGCTTAGAGCAGCGTGCAGGCTCTGTAACTGTACACAATGTGTATGAGAGTGGTATTGATTCTCTCCATCAATAAAAGTGAATAACTGTTTCTAACCACACAACAAGAAGTTTGAGACATTAGTATAAGTGGCTGATATATTAGAGAGGACTAGATCCATTTCTGAGGAGACTGGCAGCCTTTACTAACACTCTATAATGCATTTCAGCTTGGAGTTTCCTCAATGTTATGGAACAGCACGAAGAGAGTGAAGCCTTGTGGGTTTTTATGATGACCATTGAGATGAAGAGATTTTTTAAGTGTTGTAGTACTTGTTGCAGTGCTCCCTCTCTGCCCCGCGCCAAAGTCCAATGCGCAGTTGAGGCTGCCATTGCTGCTGGCTACCGCCAATAGACCACGCCTACAGCTACAACAACGAAGTGGATATTGGCAAGGCTCTGCACTCCAAGATGCAGCAGGGCATCATCAGGCGCCAGGACATGTTCATTGTCAGTAAGGTGGGTGCTGTAGAGAACAGGTGTTATAGCGGGGCCAGGTGCAATGTGATGATATGATGATGTCCTTTTTGAACTGCAAAGAAAATCTTTTCATGCACATTATGCTGCCTTTATATACTGTGGGCCATGATTTTATTTTATTTCTCAGTTTACCCTCCTTTCTGTACATGTTCTTCACAGCTGTGGGGTACCCACCATGACTCAGAGGACATCCTGCATGCCTGAACAAGTCCCTGAATGATCTCCAGTTGGACTACCTGGATCTCTACCTTGTGCATTTCCCTGTTGGCCTGAAGGTTGAGCATAACATCCTAAACACGTATGACAGAATTAAAATTGTATCTCACCCTTATCCTACTTGTCTGAGATGGTTGGGGTCCAGGCTAGGAAAGACATCTTTGACTGTGGCATTGTTTTTTTTTTTTTTTATAATTGTGTTTAAAGCTGCATTAAATGATTCTTGACCATCAGAGGGCAGGAATCCAAAACCAAACTGACACAATGGCTTATCTCATTGTTATGGCTGATATGTTAGCGTGTGTTTCCAACCACCTAACAAATGTAACATTATAATAACTTAATAACTTCAATAATCTCACTTATAAAGTATGCAATATAGAAGGAGAGGTCTTGAGCTGCTAGTTGCAGCTTTGTCTGCTGTTTGATCAGATGATATACAGGTGGTTTATCGCGAGCTCATCAGAGTTGCTGAAAAGAGCTGCTGCTGAAAATAGAGTTAAAACATTTAATATTAGGTGTTAGTGGAGTCAACCTTACAGTTTGTCACCACCAGCAGTGCAGGGTATATGCGGTTATACACTGCATACCCACTTCTAAATCCCCTCTGATGTTCATGGTTCAGTAGTCTGCTACAAGACCATTTTTTCTCCTTGTACACAAAGACATGACCGCCCTATGATAGTACTTGTTGCATTCATTGTCAGATAGGTTGGGTTTAATCATGAGGACTATTGAATAGGTAAGAGTATCAGGGGGAGCCAATCAGAGCCAGAGTATTATCGAGCCCCTAAAAATTGGGGCATAAATTAAGAGTATACCTTTTTATATACATTTATGAGTATACCCACTTTTTTAGGCACCACTACACAACTGAACATATTCAAATTACAAGTCACTGTATTGATTCAACATCAAAAACATAATTTAATGCAGCTTAAGTGTCATTTCTGTCTACTATATTTTTTCTAAATTTGCTAAATATCTTTACAAAAGGGGAAGCAGTTCTAATTATTGAGAAGATACATGCTGTATCTTTGCCTTTGTTTACCTTTAAATTCTTCCATAGAAAATGGGATTGAGACTTTTCCCGGAAAAGGACGGACAGACACTGACCTCTGACGTAGACTATGTAGATGTATGGAGGGTAAGAACACATGTACTCTCTCTGTTTGTATGACACTGGTGTGTCTACCTGCTTTTAGATTTTTCTCTATTTAAGATCTGAATAGTTCATCACTGTTGCCCAACTTCCACACTAGCTTAAAAATAGTTTAGTTGTTTACTAGTTTAAAATACACCTTACTAATGAATTTGGCTGCTGTTAAAATAGCAGAAGTGATATGGACATGACCTTAAGTGCACTTCTAGTTGCCTCCTACCTAAAACCAAATAAGCCTTTTGGAGTGGCTGGTAGATGTGGTTTACTGTCACGATCTGTTGCTGTGTGTTTGCAGGGGATGTGAAGCTCTACAAGTTTCAGGGAAGGTGAAGAGCATTGGAGTATCAAACTTTAACATCCTGCAGCTGGAAGGCTGCTTGCTCTGTGCAGGGTTCCCCCGGCTGTCAACCAGGTACTGAAAATTTAACTCCTTTATTGAACATTTTCAAAACATTCTTATTTCCCTCTATAGAATGTATGAACCCATGTATCTTACTTTCATTTACTGTGACAGTAAAAAGTGAGTGGTCTGGTGATGGTCTGCCTTATACACTCATCAAACTCTTTATTACAAAACCCGTACAACTGCGCATTAATGCAATTATCCAATCAGAGCAGTGCATAAGTCCTGCAGATACAGGTGAGGAGCTTCAGTTCATGTTCACATCAAACATCTGATGAGGAAAAATGTGACTCAGTGACTTTTGACTGCACGTTATTGTTTGGCGTCAGACGCTGGTTTGAGTTTTTCTGGAGCTGCTGTATCTCCACGACAGTCTCGAGAGTTTTTACTCTGAATGGAGCCTATAAGAACAAAAAGCTTCCAGTGGAGCAGCCAGCTCTGTGGACGAAATCACCTTGTTGGTGAGAGAGGTCCAGAGGAGAATGGTCAGACCTGTTGAGCTGACAGAAAGACTACGGTCACTAAGATAAACCAGCTCTTTACAAGCTGTGGTGAACAAGCTTCAAGAGTGAACAACACCTCCAACTTACACAGCAGCAGGTGTTCCACTTCCTTGATCTACCGCAAGAACAGAAACCTGAGGCTGCAAGTGGACACAAAGACTCACCAACACTGGACAGGTGAAGACCTGGTCTGAATGGATGTGGATTTGTGCTGAGGCAGCAGATGGTCGGGTCAGAATCTGAATCCAGTGGACAACCGGCCTTTTGTCAACAGTGCCAGTCGGCAGTCTGGGATGTATATGTATGCAGGACGCCCCCCAA